AATGAGATGTATTCAACCTACTTTGTTTAAGGTGGTTACAGACGGATTCATAATCTTAATTGAAATATTATGTATTGCCTGTCTTGAAAACATGTTATAAAGGAAATTAAAGAGATGAAGACCAAGATGTTATGGCCTCTGGTGCGGTTGCAGTCTCCTTTCGATTTATAGAAGTAGGTTGACTTCGTTGTCGCAACTCGGTCTTGTTGTCAGGGCGAGTTAGTAGAATGTACCTAGTCCGAAGTCATAGGCCGTAGTAGTTGTCATGACTCCCAGCATCAGACAGTGGACTTGGTACATTCTCAAACGTTTCGCCGGCGTCATCAGTGAGTGCTGTCATTCTCTGCACCAAGCCACGAACCCGTCAGAGACAAGTGAAGTCAATCCCTCGACTACGATGCCTGCGAAACGTTTTGAGAATGTATCAAGTCGACTGTCTGATGCTGGGACTCATGACAACTACTCTGGCAGACGATTTCGGACTAGGTGCCTTCTACTTAATTGCCCTGACAACGAAAATGGTCAAGCTTGTGTTCGTCCTGCAATTTGACCGAGATCATCAGACCGGACGATTCAAGAAAGCCCATCATCTCTGTCCCAAATGTTGCATTTTGGTGAAATACAAAGTGATGTTGGCTAGTCACACTGTACGTCAAGTGGCCAGCATGTGCATGTGTCGTCAGGTGAGTCTACTTGTACGATCGTCATCGCAATCTCTTGATGGCCTGTGCTTCCGCTTCCAATGGAAGTGAGCCAAAAGTCTCCAAAATGTGTCGCCGGCGTCTCCACAGACTGACGAACCGGACGACTGTTGCTGAAGGTACCGAGGCCGAGAATCCCCTCCTGACAACGACTGGTCGCCGCAGAAGTGGTGTCGATTGCAGTCTCACTCTCCTGCCCGCCTCGGACCAGCAGCACAACCGGAAGTCGCAATGGCAACCTGACATGTCCAGACGGGCCGTTGCCGATTCTGACGTGGCAACCCAGTTGCCTGGAGGGCGACAGATGCCTGGCAGCGTGGCTGTATCTACCAAAAGTCAGTCTAGCCCGTGGCCGAAATGGGGAGGGGTCGGCTGGGAGGTGCGAGGCTGCGGGCAGAGGACGAGCCGAGGTTGAGTCGCGGCGACGCGACCGGAACCGAGCAAGTGGGACCATCGAAAGGGGCTCGCGACGACAGGCCGAGTCGGACAAGAGAGAGAGAGAGAGAGAGAGCGCGCGCGCGTTAACGCATTGCCTTCGCGTCGGGAGGAGGGGGCGACCAGTCGGGGCTGTAGTGCACATGCAGCCACTCGGCGTTATCGCAGACTGGCCGGCCAGAAGTCGTCAGTCCATGTACAGCTGAGCAGTACACACAAACACAAACCCACATGTCTGCATGTCATGCATGGCTCATGTGTATATGCGGAGACATTTACAACCTTCTCTTATCCGATAACGCTTGTACACTTTATCGCATCCACTCTAAAACACACACACACACATACACACACATATATATATATATATATA